GGCCGCCCCGCTCTTTCCCCGGCCCGGGTTTCCAGACTCCAGCGCATCCGCCCCAACCTCCCAAAGCTACGCGCCCCCCATGTCGGCCCCGCTCTGCCCGTGCGTATTTCAGCTCTGGTCCCTCCTGTCTGCGGCGAGCGGGCGGGGGCGTCTCCCGGGCCTGCCCATGGACAAGGTCAGTACGCAGCCCCCTGGGCGCTCAGAGCCGCGGGGACGCGACGCTGCACGCGCAAAGCGCCAACCGAGACCCCCGGGGTGGAGCCGTGCTAATAGAAACATACCTACCCCCAGCCTTTCCTGGGAGGGGGCCAGACCCCTCAAACTCTTGCCCCAGCCCAGTGCCCTTCAGCACCCAAGACCCACCTAGGAGGCTTGGGCCCGCCAGAAATGGGTAGGGAGAGGGGGCGATGGGCCGGGGCGCACGGCCCTCTTGCGGACGCTGTTCCCTCCGCTTCCAGGTGTAGCGCCCCCGCGCGGCGCGGGCGGCCGGTGCCTCCAGCATGACCGGCCAGAGCCTGTGGGACGTGTCGGAGGCCAACGTCGAGGACGGGGAGATCCGCATCAACGTGGGCGGCTTCAAGAGGAGGCTGCGCTCGCACACGCTGCTGCGCTTTCCCGAGACGCGCCTGGGCCGCCTGCTGCTCTGCCACTCACGCGAGGCCATTCTGGAGCTCTGTGATGACTACGACGACGTCCAGCGGGAGTTCTACTTTGACCGCAACCCTGAGCTCTTCCCCTACGTGCTGCATTTCTATCACACCGGCAAGCTTCACGTCATGGCTGAGCTGTGCGTATTCTCCTTCAGCCAGGAGATTGAGTACTGGGGCATCAACGAGTTCTTCATTGACTCCTGCTGCAGCTACAGCTACCATGGTCGCAAAGTGGAGCCCGAGCAGGAGAAGTGGGACGAGCAGAGTGACCAGGAGAGCACCACGTCTTCCTTCGATGAGATCCTTGCCTTCTACAACGACGCCTCCAAGTTCGATGGGCAGCCCCTTGGCAACTTCCGCAGGCAGCTGTGGCTGGCCCTGGACAACCCTGGCTACTCAGTGCTGAGCAGGGTCTTCAGCATCCTGTCCATTCTGGTGGTGATGGGGTCCATCATCACCATGTGCCTCAATAGCCTGCCTGACTTCCAAATCCCTGATAGCCAGGGCAACCCTGGCGAGGACCCTAGGTTCGAAATCGTGGAGCACTTTGGCATCGCCTGGTTCACATTTGAGCTGGTGGCCAGGTTTGCTGTGGCCCCTGACTTCCTCAAGTTCTTCAAGAATGCCCTAAACCTTATTGACCTCATGTCCATCGTCCCCTTTTACATAACTCTAGTGGTGAACCTGGTGGTGGAGAGCACACCTACCTTAGCCAACTTGGGCAGGGTGGCCCAGGTCCTGAGGCTGATGCGGATCTTCCGCATCTTAAAGCTGGCCAGGCACTCCACGGGCCTCCGCTCCCTGGGGGCCACTTTGAAATACAGCTACAAAGAAGTAGGGCTGCTCTTGCTCTACCTCTCCGTCGGAATTTCCATCTTCTCCGTGGTGGCCTACACCATTGAAAAGGAGGAGAACGAGGGCCTGGCCACCATCCCCGCCTGCTGGTGGTGGGCTACTGTCAGTATGACCACAGTGGGGTACGGGGATGTGGTCCCAGGGACCACGGCAGGGAAGCTGACTGCCTCTGCCTGCATCTTGGCAGGCATCCTCGTGGTGGTCCTGCCCATCACCTTGATCTTCAATAAGTTCTCCCACTTTTACCGGCGCCAAAAGCAACTTGAGAGTGCCATGCGCAGCTGTGACTTTGGAGATGGAATGAAGGAGGTCCCTTCAGTCAATTTAAGGGACTATTATGCCCATAAAGTTAAATCCCTCATGGCAAGCCTGACGAACATGAGCAGGAGCTCACCAAGTGAACTCAGTTTAAATGATTCACTACATTAGCTGGGAGGACTTGTCACCCTCCACCCCACATTGCTGAGCTGCCTCTTGTGCCTCTGGCACAGCCAGGCACCTTATGGTTATGGTGTAAGGAGTATGCCCAGCCCCTGAGGGGAGAGATGCATGGGATATGCACCCAGGTTTCTTTTGCAGTATTTAGAATCGTTTTTAGAGGGTGGTGTGTCTGACACCATGCCTTTGCACCTTTCCATGAAATGACACTCACTGGTCTTTGCATCGTGGGCATAAAATGTTCACCTTTTTGCCAGATGAGTACACCCAGAATGCTAATTTTTCTGTTCATCGTATACGCTATTCTAGTGCTTGTGGCCCAGTACTGTCTATGAGTTGTTGTGCTCCTGTTTCTGAGGTTGTCCTGTGAGTTCTGTACAAAAAGCCCCCACAAGTCTGTCCACTGGAAATGCATCTATGAGGTCAGCAAGGATATCATGAGATTTTTGCTCACAGTCATGTGAAAACAAAATCTCAGCTCTTTATTCATTGCTTTCATTTAGTTTTAATACCAAAACAAAGAGAATGCAAAGTTAAGCACACTTGACCAATGCAAGTCTTAAGTTGTTTTTATAAATGATCTGTAGTTCCGTGGCTTGCATGGGTGCACCTATCATCTTTAGAACGATGTACACTGATGTTCATCTCATAAATGTCACTCTTTAGAGAATGTTAGTTAAACATGTAGCGAAGATCGAATTTTTTCTCCAAGGGCAGATGCGTTAGGGAGAGGGGCTTCAGCTAAATAGTCGAGACCCTAGGGTGCTTAAAGCCAAGTCAGTGCAGGCTGAGCCCCTTGGTTCGTGGTCAAACCTCCGTGTTTGCTAGGGTGACTGTAGAGACATGTATTTCTGGATGAGGTTTCTGATCTAGACCATTTGACCAAACTTTGCTGCGTCTAAGATATTAGCATGTTTTTGAAATATTTATTTTTTAAGATGTTTAGGAGTAAGGTTGTGTTGTCTTCCTCAACTAAAAAGAAGTTTACTGTTGTATCGTCTCCCTGAGGTGAACGTTGTTGAGTTGCTAGCAAGGGCAGTAGCTTACTTTTGTTGCCTGCTCTGAAAGCTCATCAAATGAGAGCCCTTTTATTTCTAAGCAGAATTTACTCAAATAATTTTGCTTCTAAGATATAGTATGTTGTATATATGTTATGTTTTCCCTGGAGTTCCTGCCATGACATGGAAACCTGGTGGTATGGAAGCATGTACTCAAAATATAGATGTGCATGAAGGTGGTGTGGCTTACCCAGGATGGAAATGCTGCAGTTCTTACTTGCATTCCAACTGCCTTTCATTGAGGGTGAGTGGGTAGAGGCCAGGAGAAAGGAAAGAGTTGTAAAATAAAAAAACTGCTAGTTCATAAAATGTCATAAAAATTGTAAACTTGAAAAGCTTAATGCTATTCAAAAGACTTTCGAACTTCTAAACTTGCATTGAAGGGAGATGACTGTTTTCTCCTCCAAAATTCTCCTGCCCCTGTTGTTCAGTTAACCAGCACATAACATTGTGATGGGGAACCTGGGTTCCTCTATAAGATAATTCTTCTCCATCATCTTTAAGGTAATCTGATGGTTTTCCAGCGGGCTTTCATTATTGTTCCATCTTTGAAAAGGCAATAGAACCCAGGGGTCTGAGCATGGAGCTATCCAGGCTTTTCATCCAAAGGTTGGGACTCTTCTTAAGAGGTCCTTTTGTGTTTCAGTTGATTGAAGATGATACTTACCTCGTGGAGGCGTGGCAAGGGTCTTCTCAGAAGGCTTTGTGTTCTTGTAGTTGTCATGGCTACTACAGTGTGGGTGATTGATTGAATGAATTCACTAGCCGCTTGTGTCCTGGAGCCCCTAGTTCAAATCTTTCCATCAGACTGGAGGCTCATGGGAGGCTAGGGGTGGCTGTCTCCTAGTGTCTACATCCATGTCTCTGAAGCATCAGGAAAAGTGAGATGACTTAGAGGCAATGGGGCACTGAATCAGAGGAGCAGGGCTATTTTTCAGAATTTGCACATGGAACACTTAGCTTTGGCTGATGCTTCCAGCCCTGGAAGGCATGACATTTACAGAATCATCCCCAGCTGCACTGAAGGCAGGTGGTGGTACAGACTTAAGAGGACCGTTCAGTTTGCCAAGGCTGATGGTATTGGGTCACTGAGCCTGGTATCCATGGCCACTGACCAGGAAACTTATGCAAAGTGGAAACAAGGAAGGAGGCAGAATAACTCAGTCACTCTCATGAGGTTTTTCTAAACAAGAAGGCTTACCACCAAAAAAGAGGTACCCTAGTGGTTACCCTTTGCAGATGTGAAAGCTGGAAAACTTGACTTTTCTTTTTGGTAATGACTTGCATTTATCTGGTGCCTTTCATTGGAGGAATCCCAAAGTGCTTTAGAGACTATCTTTTTAACATCTCTTGTACATACATATATACTTACATATATACTTATATAATATTATCTTGCCCACCTGGACCTTTAATCACTTCTGAGCATGAGAATGTCCCAATAGCATTGAGTTTTTCAAGTGGTGGTTTTAGATAAGTGGGAGAGAGAACAACCCGGCTGGCTTGAACCATGGAGCTAATTCCCACAAGGGATGTAGACTGACTGGTGACCCAGAGAGAAATAATCTTCCTCTTCCCTAAAGTCTCACTAAGATGTGAAGTTTACAGGTGCTCTCCACTGGGTCTTCGATTGACCTTGTTAGGTAACATCTAACCAGCAGGTTTTTTTAGTCCCTGAAGCTTACCAGGGAGGGTCAGGTTAATTTTCTGCATTGCTCTTGGAGCAAAGGCTAAAAATATGAGGTGACATCTTTGGCAACCAGGCTGTCAGACTGACCTGTAAACCTCCTTTAGGGGGACAGAGTAGAAACTGGAGATGACTTTTTTCCAGCTGTGAGCTTGAGAGAAGCGTCACTCCCAACATTTGAAGGTTATTGCTTTCAATACCATTGGGACAAATATATGGACCAGGCTTTGATATCTGTGATGCGCATTTTGGAAGTGCTGGGTTGGGAAGTGACACATGTCTGTTGCACAAATGCATATTGGTTATAGGATTGTGTTTTCTGCCAAACCCCCACATTTCTTGGGTTTGCGAGTGAGGAAGGGCATGTTGTAATGCCGAGCTGATTTGTAGCTCGTAAGGTAGTAATTGGTATTTAACATTTGGATTTGTTATTTCTACTTATCTTAGCACTCAGATAATTGAACTACCTGCTAATTCTTGCCTCATTTCAAAGAAAATAAGTTGTTATGCACTTTGGGATAGTGGTGATCTGTACAGGCTGTGTGTTAGCTACTTGAAGGCTTAACTGGTATTTCTTGTATGTTTTAACAGCATGACTTCTTACAGAGTTGTAATTTTTAAAATTGAGGACGCCGTATTTGAGATGTCAGTTTTAACACTCATTAACACACTACTGTGCAAGCATTGATGCAGGCTGCACGGAACCGTTATGTCTGATTGTTGCACTTTCATCTCTGTGCCTGGATTCGGGAATGGGCAGTAATACTGACACACCCAGGACTCCAGCCTCAAAAAGTGTGCAGATTAAATAGATGAAAATTATTTGCACCTCTTGGAGGCACTTCAATTACATATGCAGTAGCAAACAAGGAGGGCATTTAAAGTTGGGGACCAGATTTCCTGAGAAAGCCTGTTTGTTTTTTTTTTTTTTT